CGCATGTAGTGGCCTGAGTAAAATCTCTCTCTCTCTCTCTCTCTCTCTCTCTCTCTATCTCTATCTCTCTCATCCTCTCTGTATCCAACCTCTATCTAGGAGCACATGTTTTGATTAATGAATTAATCATTATTCTTTTCGGCATCCCTTTCACTGATACATCACAATGAGTGAGGAGACAAATTTTGTGGACTTAAATTTTTAGGTACCAAAGTAACTTTCTGTAGTTTACTGTTAGTGACTTGTCTTCAATTGTAGGAGCTTTTTGGTGATGCTATGAGAACAACTGCCGTGAAACGAAGGTGTATAGCCGGCATTTCATCTGAATATGCTCGGACTAAGCATCTATTTGCAATTGGCAAAAGCAGTCATACATTGTTTTCGGACAAACCCATGTTTACTGCAGCCACAACAGCATGGAGACCTGCACTGTTTTCGGGCAAACCTATGTTTCCTGCAGCCACAACAGCAAGCTCTGGAACCCCATGGAGACCTGCACTGTTTTCGGACAAACCTTTGTTTCCTGCAGCCACAACAGCAAGCTCTGGAACCCCATGGAGACCTGCACTTCTTTTTAATTATGGCCCTTTCACATTTGGAGGTATTATTTCAATATAATTGATGGAATGTTTATATATATATATATATATATATATATATATATATTCACTATGTAGCATGTATCTGCTGCATGCAGTTGTAAATGGTGCATTGTGAAATTATATATTCATTACAAGATTTGATGTATGTGTTTGCAAGTTATTCAAATATGAATATGTTCCCAATTAGAATACTTACAGAGTAGCTACCATAGTCGCTCTAATTCATAATATCCAAATCTCTTTTTGTATCATTAGTTTGCTCTAATTCATGATATCTTAAGTCTCTTTTTGTATAATCAGTTCCACTGCAAACTGGGTTCCCATATGTGGGTGATTTAACAATACTTTTTTCTCATTCAAATAAAGAAAGAATTCTGCACTTGTTTTTTTCTATCGATAAATGATGTTAGTTCAGTTGAGAGTGTACTTAAATTCTATACTTTGGTTCTTTACCCTCCATAATTGACGATGTGCTTGAAAACTGTGATCATCTTGCTTAATTTTGGATACTGCTTTGTTTGTGCTCATGGTTTCAGGAAGCGAGGTTTCTGTTCCTGGAATTGGATATGACAATGCTGTTACTTCAAATGAACCTGATGGAGGTAAGGGGTTATAAGGTCTTTATGATTAAATGATTGTCAATAAAGCTGTTAATTCTTTGGTTAATCTATCACGGCTTATGTCCACTTTATG